ACCACTTTAAAGAGAGACTTTGAGAAAGGAAAGCAATAAAACATGCCGTGCTTAAACAAATCCTCTTTACCTTTCATCATTTCCCTTCACAGCCCTGGCTAATTATCAAAGCTATCTGTGCTTTAGGAACGGGCCCCACTCCCCCAGGTCCCTTCCCCCTCTCCATCCCCGGCCCCTCCCCCAGCACATCCCAGTCCCTCCCAGTTCAGAGCCAGCACCCTGGGGGCCGTCCCTCACGCCCTGTCCCTGCTGCCAATAACAGAGCCCTTATGGTCTGTGCCCGGCCAGCATTGTTCCACAGCAAGAAATTCACCCCAAAGTGATTTATTTTGAAAAATGCAAACAAAGACGGGGTTCTGACTTGGCTGCAGGGCACGGTAAGAAGGGAAGGGGAAGGCAGAGCTGAAAGCTCCCATTGAGCAGGCTGACTCCAAGAGGGCACAAAAGCCCCCAGCCGGTTCCCAGGCTGTGCTGCGCAGCCACAGGCATTTTCCCAGGACAGCAGCACCCAAAGCAGGAGGAATCAGGGGCAGCCACGGCCACCAGGACCCGCCATGGGGCCACCAAGCTGCCACAGGGCAGGGACACCACGCAGAGACAGTGCCATAGTGCAGGGTCAGCGTGCAGGGGCACGTGCACAGCGTCGTGCATCAGGCAGAGCTGCAGGGAAACAGCTCTGGGGTGACAGAGCTGGGCAAAGAGAGCTCCTGTCCCACAAGGGGCCATGCAGGTGTTGCTGGATCTGGCGCTCAGTGCTTCAAAGCATCCATCAGATTCCCAGCAGCACGGGAAAGCCTATCTCCCACACCTGCTCAGAGCACTGATTTATCTCCTTACATTTCCCCTAAAGCCTGGCAGGAAAACAAAGAGGGGGAAATATGAGAACAATCGCTAAAATAACGATCGCTTTAGTGCATTATCAGGCAGAATGGTTTCCTAGTGTGACGGGATGCTGGAGTGAGGCTGGCAGGGCGTGAGGGAAGGCAGAGCGGTGGCTCTGAGCTCTGGGCATACACTGAAGGGGGCTGAAATGCAGCCAGGAGATGGCAGGAGCACAAGGTGCCGTCCCACGTGCCACCTGTGTCCCCTGTGGGCCGGCTGTCCCTGCACCCCAGTGCTGTCTCCTCCTTGCTTCCTTGCTACACTTTCTTCCTCTTCTATGGGGAAAGGTGATGGAGGAGCAGAATGGAGTGAGATTTCCTGTTGTTCCTGAAAGTAGCACCTGGCTCGGGATGCAGGGAAGCTGCAGTGGGGAGTGTGTGGGACCGTTAAATCAGAGTTGAAACATCTCTGAGAAGGGGGGATGCAGGCAGAGAGAGACCTGCTCCCATCAAGGATACAAAACTACCCTCCTCTTCCTGCTCCTGTACCCATCCGTCCCTCCTGGTTCTCTTGCCAGCAGGTGATGGGAACATGCAGAAAGAAGAGACAAAACAGGCAGGCCCTCGAGTGCAGAGCTCAAAGCATTTCGGCAGCATCTGCAGCACTCTGCCAGGGCCTGGGGATTTCCCTCCCCATCTCTAAGCCAACCCCTCCGGTTGCTGATCCCAGAACATGTGTCCCCCATGGCTGCACTCCATGCAGTGCTGGAGAGAGGAGACAGGAGGTGCCTCCTCCATTCCTGCTCTGTTCCTGCTCATTACTGGAAGCAGCACTGTGCAGAAGAGGCTGCCGGAGCTGTGATAGTGCAGTGCCTGTCCAGGTGTCCAAGGGCCCTCAGCCCTCCAGGGCAGGAGATGGAAAAGTAGAACAGTCACAAAGGGAGGAGAAAAGTGCCAGGTGCATAGAGCGAGCCCGTTCCCAATGGAGGTAAATGAACTGCAGCTATGGAGGTGCCAAGCCGAGTAACTCACTGGGGCAGCAATGAATGGCAGCAGGAACAGCAGCAGTGCCTTCATCACCTACTCTGTAGGATCCCAACAGCCCCAGGACAGCCCTCCAGTGCCTCAGGGCAGGCATGCAGGGATGGGTCCCACTCCATGCCTCACCTTCGGGGCTGAGGAACCCACCAGCCCCTCTGCGGTTCTCACCACCCATTCATAGCCCATCCCCAAATCCCTAGCATCCAGCTTTACAGCCACCCCTCCAGGACACACACTGCAATTTCTCCTTGCATGGAAGCAAAGAGGAGCCCCCAGCCGACACTGAGCAGGAAGAGGAGAGGGATGCTGCTCTCCAAGTCAGCACGTTCTTCGGTTTGGGTTTCCTATTTCTTTCACCCAGCACTGAGAGGCTCTTGGCAGGTCAGTTCCACAGCCATGCCAGCTCTGTGAGCCGCTTGCCAGCTGCATGCTTGCCACTGGCTGCCTTCTGGTTTGAGTTACCCAGGCTGGTCACATTCCAGTGTAAAGTGCATTTTTCCCCCTCTCTTCCCCTTCCCCCCCACCCTTCTCATAGGAGCCCCCTTTGATTTAATGCTTGTGAGAAGCTGCAGGACACGGACCTGAGCTGCAGCTCAGGTACAGTGCAGCAGAGCACAGTGCTGGGGACGAACCCCCAGGAATCCTCACAGTGGGGAGCACCAACTTGCAGCCATCCCAAAAGGGACCTGACCCCCAGCTGCTCATAGAACACACTGGGGAATGCAACCTGGGAAATCCAAGGTGTCCTCCTTTGGGGTGAGAATCCCACCGGAGCTGTGGGGCTGCAGCATTTCTCCTCCCTGCAACAGGAAAGTGGTTCCCAAAGCCCTCATTGTAAAACTTCACAGAGAATGTGCACATATAGGAAGGCAAGAAAAAGAAAACCGTCTACACATGCGCAGAGCAGAGGGCATGGAGTAACCTTAGCACCAATACACTGCACACAAAACGACACTGAACCTCTCTAGAGATCAGCTCTGGGTTTGCAGGGGAGCACAGAGAAGACAGAGCTGTGCTCAGGAGCACTGCCCTGTGTCATGGGCCCTATGGCACGGGCCATGCAGTGGGGGCTGTGGGGCTGCAGGAGCATTTTGCTGCTCCCATGGGAGCTCCTGCATGGATCCCAGCACAGCCCACAGGGGTTGGGATGCTCCGGAGATGCAGCCACTCACGAGCAGGGTAATGCTTGGGGGCATTTGAAGTCTGACCATTGTTAAGGAAAAGATGAGGAAACTGGGAAGAAAAGAAAAAAAAATTAAAAGGGCTAATGTGAAAATAATAAATTGCAAACATTCCTGTGGTGGAAGTGGATTCTCTGCCTCCTTTTATCCCTGCACATTGTCTTCGCAGCAGCCGTCTGTGAAATTGCACTGTTATTGAAGTAATTCTGGGGGTAATTAGAGTTAATAATTCAGTATTTTATTTCTATTCTCCAGTTACTGCAGGGGGAAAAGCATACATATATATAATCCAGGGAGCAAAGGCGTGGTTTTCCTTTTCATGGCAAAAAATAGCCCCGTCTGGGTCCAATCCCTCCCCGTGCCCACCCACACATCCCGTGCTGCGGTCCTCCTGCCTGCTCCTGCTTGCAAGCATCACGCTGCCCCAGCGCCTTAAAACTGCACCTGAACTGCCCCAGAGATGTCCCAGAGCTGCCCCTGCAGTGGAAGGGATTGAGCCACCAGGACCCCAGAAGGGACTGGGGCTGCAGGAGGGTGAGCAGCGCAGCCGGGTGCTGGCAGCAGCCCGTGCAACGCAGCGCGAGCGTGGGATGTTTGCAAAGCGCCCCGGGCTGCCCGCGGTCTCCCCGTGTTTACCCCCTTTGAAATATTAGAGAACTTCTCTGTTAAATTATTTGGAATTAAGTTTGGCAGCTGAGCCCTTTGGGAGGAATCGGATTGATTTCCTCAGTGAAATGAGTTTGGAGAGGACTCAGTCTGGTTCCTCGCGCTAATTACCCCGTGCAATAATTAAGCCGTCAGCAGTTTGGGAGACAGAGGCTGATCTGGGAGCTGGGGAAGGTGAGCCCACCCCAGGGGCTGCGCTCAGCCCTCGGAACAGGATTAGGGCAAAGAGACAGGCAGAGCGCAGGAGTTATTAGAGCAGGAAATTTCAAATGATATGGAAATAATCTTCTGAGTGAGAGTTTATTTTGGAACTTTAGACTTAATAATTCAGCACTTCTGGGATTTGGCATGTGAAGTGACAAAGATTAGAGGCGTATTGTCAGGTTCACAATTCGGGACTTTCAAACAACACGGTTCCTCACCTGGGCTGCTCGCAGTGGGCCCCGCTCCGCCCTGCGCTCCGGAACCACATGGAGAGCAGCACATCCCCATCGGGTCACACAGGGCTGGGGTTACCAGCAGTAACGGCTGTGCTCCTCACAGCATGTGCTGGAGCATCGCAAACATAATCATCAATAATTCAAACTTAGCTACACTTGTCAAATAAATGAACAAAGTACATTTGGTGATGCGCTGTCCCCGCTTTCTCCGCCTGTGTTTGTCGCTCCTCCTCGAGCCGGGCCAACTATTTATAGCAAACCATTTCTTCACAGCGTTTTGCCCTTTTTTTCTTTCTTGCAGCTCGGGAATTGTTCACAAACAGACGCCGATTCTTTACTAATTTCTCCACTCTCCTTAATTGCCCAGAATACGCTCAGAGCGCATGGCTCCAGCGCAGGCTGATTGCAAACAGCTCCTGCCATTTCCCGTAGCTATTTCTGTTGCTCCCAGCCCTGGGGTTGCTGCTTTAGCCTTATTTCGTCCCCAGTGCAGCGCAAAGGGACAGCAATGCGGGCCCACCATCACTCAGAGAGGCTCTGCTTTCCCACCACCACGATGCCAGGACCCGACTTCAGCGCATTCTGTGCTCAGCAGCTCTGCAGCTCCCACCACGCAGCACAGCCCCTTCTCCTGCACTGCATTACCAAAACTCGGGGTGTGCCCTGCACGGAGCCGGGGTGTCTGGGGAAGTCAGCCTGGGGGCACCGCTGCCTGGGCCCCCCGCATTGGGCAGGATCTTACATGACCCAGCAGCTCTCCGTGGCTGGCTGCAGAGCAAATATGCAGAATGAGCTACTGGAGGGGGAACGAGATCAGAGCTCACGGTAGCACGCGGGTTGTTCCTCTTCCACTGGTGGGGTTATTTGCATACAGAAGTGCATCGCTTTTTTGTGTTGTTGTGGGTATTTTTTTAAATAAAAATTACCTTCAGAACAGCATTTCCACTGACCCCTCGCTGCCACGAGCCCCAGTGTTGCAAAGACACCCATGGAACCACATGGCAGAAGCAATGGCTCTGGGGAGGGAACAGTGGGTGAGGAGAAAACCCCAAAATGGAAGGGCATCCCCACAGCCCGCGGGCTGGATTCTGTTATTGGAGGATCCACAGCGAAAGTAAGAAGAGCCAAGTGGCTGACGTCAGCACCCATCGCTGGGTGGCAGAGGGGTGACTCAGACAGGGCCAGGCACTCCTCACCCAGGGGCGACGTCTGGCATATGAGGATGCTGCAGGATGGGGAACCCCAAAACCTTCAAGCCCCAACCCAAAGAGAGCAGCAGGGGGAGGAGGAGACGAAAGCCAGCAGCAGTGCAGTCACCAAGCGGTGGCACACCCAGAGCTGGGGTCCTGTTCCAGGTCAGCACCCACATGAAGGCAAAGAGTCAGGACAGAGGTGTGACAAAAGTCTGTTTCGGGCATCACCACTCCCAGCTGGGACTGCCAGGAAAAGCACACAGCTCATGGGAATGGCAACAGCCCACAGGCGCAGGAGCTCAGCCCCATCCCTGCCCGCCCTACATCCATCCTATTCCCCCACAGGTTCATTCCCAGCTCCTTTCTCCTCTCCGCTCCAGACGCACAACGCCCATCTGCAGCTGTAATGCTGCTGGTATTTGCAACGTGTCTGTGCCCCCAGGGAGCTGGGGACCTTCCAGCTCTCCTATCGCGATGTGGTGCATCAGGAAATTCAGCCCCATCACCACAGCCTGCACTGAGCATCGGGCACAGGGAGCACCCAGTGCAGAGCTGCAGGTGGGGGCCTACTGCAAAAGGGAGCAGAAAGGTGCACGCACACAGCACAGCTACAGAGCTCCTGTGCACCCCTTCAGGACACGCACAGATCAAGGTGACACAATCAGGAGCAGTGGTGGCTGCAGCAGGCACGAAGCAAGCACAGCACCCACCCATCCATCTATTGAGATCAGTGCAGAGCGCAGCGCTGCTCAGCCCCACTTCGCCCAGGGCTGCAATAACGCTCAGGGATTTCAGAGGATTTTAGGCCTTTCTGTGTCTTTCACAAACGCAGAAAATGAAGAGGTACTTAAGAATCCGCTGTTTATACTGAAAGCCAAAATCCCTTTAGAATTTAATCTCCCAGTGATGGATTTAGAACTGTTACAGACAGCAGGGGTAACCCTTTGAAGCGAGGTTTGGTTGCAAGCAGAGCGCTTGTTTGCAGTGCCCCATCACCACGATGCCATACCTGGGGCAGTGCAGCAGGCACGGAGAGGGCAGGAGGGCCATCCCTGCGCTGTGACACGCCAGCAGAGCACTGCTGTGAGGAGCAGACCTGCCCCTTGCTGAGAGCAGCGTGCCCTGAGCACAGCAGGAACAGAGCTGCCCGGTACCCCCAGGACGTGGCTGAATGCCGTCACCACCCTGAGAGCCATCTCTCCATTCTGAAGCTGGGCTCCTTGCTTTAAATGGCTGCCATTACCCAAACCCCCCATGTTTCCATGGAAGAGGCGATGCCCAGCAGACGGAGCTGGCAGCAGCCGGCAATGCTGAATCAGCCCTGACTCAGAGGAAGCGGCCCTGAGCCACAGCCCCCACCGCGCTCAGTGACCCAATTCCCACTCCACATGTGAAAGCTGGGAGATTATCCACCGCGGGCATCACGCTACAGACACCCCACGCACCCGCAGGGGAGGAAGGGCTGAGATCATTTTGATGTAATGAGAAATAAGGCAGAAAGAGAGATGGAGCCGTGGCAACAGTGGGACAGGGCAGGAGCTCAGATGGGCTTCCTATTGGGAAACCAGGGATCTCTCCTGGTGAAAACAGCCAGGCTTGGCGGCTCTGCCATCTGCAAGCCTTTATAGCAGCCCGGTGCTTTATGCAAGCACAGAGTATCTCTCCCACCCCAGCCAGGTACCCAGAATGGGGCTCCCCACCCCCCAGACCTTGCATCTGCTGCTGACCCCAAACTGCTGCCTCACTGCTTTGCATCTGTCTCATTGGAAACTTGCTGGAATGACGTGCCTGGGAGAGCTGTCAGATCTGGTTAAAGTTACCCAGCAGTCTCCAAGTTCTCACCAGGGTCCAGCTGGACGTGGGTGCACTCAGAGCACGGCTGCCTGTGCCCAAAATCATGAGGAAACGGAGACAGAGCTGTGAGCATAGACTCAGGGAGCAGAGATGCAGGATGCAGTGGGTGGGCTTCTGCAGCAGAGGGGTATTTGGGGGTCAAACGTGGGCTGGGGACCCGGCCCTGAGCCTGACAGCAGTATGCTGCTTCTGTCCCTGGGCTCATGGAAAGCCACAGAGCCCATCCACGTGAAATGCTTCCGAAACCCTCCATTTAGGAGCAGGAGGGGACACGCAGCCCCTGCCCAGCCCAGCAGCCTGATAGCACCTGCTGTCGAGGACACAAAAACTCTCAGCAGAAAACCCCGATGACTGCAAGCAGCCACGAGAGATGGAAGCCTCCTCCTGCTTCACCTGCACAGGGTTTGCCCTGCTGCTAGGAATGCTTTGGGTGCAGCCAGCAGTGTGATGAAGGGACTGTCCCCAGCACACAGCATCAGTCCCCACAGCCCCTCTCACTGGGTGCTGCATCCACCCAACCCTGCCCAGCTGACCCCCAGACTGATGACTTTGCAGGAGCTCACACCAACAGTGCCACCTCCACCTCTCGGCTGGTCTGATGCCCCATTCCCTCGCAGGCAGATAATTACCATCTCTCGGATGTGGCACTGTTAATGAGGCCAGGTGCTCATTTCCCATCTAAGCAATTTGCTCAGCAGATCCTTCAGCAGAAGAGAAGTCCCAGCAAAGGGCCTCAGAGAGCTCCTGAGCCTGTGATGGATGCATGGGACATCTGAGCAGGATTATCTCCTCCAGGGAGGAAGTGGAACAACAGATAAGGGGAAGGCTGGAGAGAACAGGGATGGGGGAAGGAAGAGACAAAAGGAAGAATGGAAAAAATGCAGGCCAGATAACGAAGGAAAGAGAGCATCTAATGGATGCTGTTCCATGGCTTCCCTGTGACCAAGCCCTCTAGCACCATAGCTAACACAGACCCAAATAACACATTGCAAATACAGGCCTCGGGACTGCAGGGATACCAGCAGAGAGCCCCAAACAGAACAAAAACACAAACACAGGAACCCAAAGGAAAACAAAAACATCCTGCTTGGCATTGGAGCCACGAGGAGGGGTGAGGGAAATGGAGAGCTGAATGAAGGCAGCACCAGGACCCAGCCTGATGCTTCACTCCTTGCAGCCATGTGCTGGAGCAGCCTCCAAGGAGGAAAGCAGCATTTTGGCCAAGCAAGCAGCCCCACACACAGCTCCCAACTCTTCCCAAGGCTGCTCTGGACCTGCACTGCTTGACAGTTCAGGAACCCTATTCTGATACCAGCCTGCACGCATGCACAGCTACTTGACAACCATTTGATCTAGAGCTGGCATCATCACGTAACGTAAATAGTTTATCTCCCTCCCTGGCAATCACTCCTCTAAATTTGTTTCTTAGGAGTCATTAAACCCTCTCCCAACCTCCATGTGGCCAGGCTGAGCAAACTGCTCCCTGTCCATTTGCAGGGCAAATAAGGTCCACCATCTCCCCCCACCCTCCTGTCTGGGTACCAGGACCAACGCTCACAGCTGACATCACCACAGCCCCAGCACCACCCTCACCCTGGAGCAGATCCTGCTGGGAGCTCCCAGCCAGCTCTGCCTGCACAGGGCTTGGGATCAGCAGCTGTGCCCACAGGCACCCACCTCCAGCAGCACAGCCTGAGCAGGGCCGGGTCAGCAGCCGCTCTGAGCATCGCTCTGCCCTACTTCTTCTCTTCACACTTCCCTGATTTGCAACTGGGCAACTGAGCCAAATGCAAATGTACCCACAGCAGCCAGTTCTGCTCCCCCAGCTCCACGGAACAGGCGTTTTCTCCGTGACCACGCAGCAGAATTGGGGTCTGTGCTAGCAGAGCAGCGGTGGTAGCTGGGGACACCCAGGCAGAGATGGAGAGCTATTAGAAAAGAACAAATGATCTAAACGTTAAGGGAGGAAAAACTTAATATATTAAATGTAAATCTATTTTTGTTACATCTGTTCAGATCCTTTAAGGAGCTTTAGGACAGATGTTTCTATAGCCCATTTAATCTTGATGTTATTGTAATGAGCTGAGCCGCGGGGTCTCCGCTGCTTCTCTCCCCAGGCACACTGCTGCTCAGTGCTGAAGCCCCACCCCGGCCCTGGGAGCCACAGCAGCACCCAACACCACGGTTTTGGCCACCCCCAGCCACCCCCACTGCCCTCTGGGTTCAGCCTCCAGCTGCTCCCCCACGTCTCCCCTTCCCCCCCCCCACCCCCCCAGAAATGGCCACATCCCCCCTTGGCCATCCCCTGTTCACTGGCAGAGTTATTACTCCAGCATTAGAGGCTTTGTTTTTAATTTCCTAAATTACAGCATAATTTAGGCTAATTATTGCTTTGTCCCTCTGATCTTATTAAACCTTTAATCCCCCGGTGATTCCCCACCCAAAGCACAGAGCTTTTCTCACATCCATTCCTGCACAGGGCCGGCTCTCACCCCTCGCCCCAGGCAGCCTCACCTCCCCAGCATTACAGATGCCCTCACACCCTCCCTCCCTGCATCCCCTCCTCCTCAGTGCTGCAGGAAGGAGTGTGGGATGCCGCACAAACACGCAGGAGCCACGAGAAGGGCTCCCAGGGCACCTCACTGCCCCACCACACACACCGCCTGCATCAGCTTTCAGAAGCAGCACCCACAGAACAGTGCAGGAGAGCCTGGGAGTGCTCACACCACAGCAATTAACCAGGCTCCCTGCCTTTCACCCTGCGCTGTTTTCCCTGCCCACCTCCTGCTCCTCGGTCCTCCGGCTGCCATTCAGTTGCATGGAAGGCTCAGCACATCCCCAGCTCTGCCACCCATACCCAGCAGCATCCCACCACGATGGGCACCTCTCAGCATCCTGCAAAGGCAGGAGCCTGGAGATGAGGATGTTGGCTGCTTTTAACCCCCCTCTTTGTACCCCCAGCACTTGGCAGCAGCAGCAGAGCTCTGCCCAGCACAGCTGAGGGCACTGCGCCCATCCAAGCCCAGCAGAGCCCAGGTGCTGGGCACCGAGTGCTCCAGTTCATTTGCTAAGGCAAAACAGGTGACAGCAATGCACTCTACAGCAACAAAGTCGAAGGGTTTTCTGACCACAGGCTGCAAAAATCCTTTTAATGAAGCCCCACAGCTCTCTGGGGCTTTAGGAAGAGCTCTGGCCCCTGGCCCCCCTCCTCCACTTGAAGCATTGTTTCTGCCTTCAGTCTCCTGCCAAGAATCTCTTCAGCTCTGCAGCTGGATTAGATACAGGGTGGGGAGAGAAGTTTAATCACCGCAATAAAGAGAGTGGCAGAGGAGCTGTTCTGGGGGAGTCTTTCAAGGAGTGGGGTTTAAAACGTCCCCAAGAGCAGAGGGGGCTCCCAGATGTAATGCACAAAGCTGGAATAGAGGGAAGAAAGAAAAAGAAAGGAAAAAAAAACAAACAGAAATGCCAAACAAAACCTCTCCTGGGCCCTTTCTGTCTCTAATTTATCCCAGTCCCCGGATTAGAAGTAGGTCATTAAAGTGGCTGCAGGGAAGGGGCATGGGCAGCACTGCGAGCGCCAACGAGGCAGCAGTAAATCACAGCCCTGCGCTGGCTGTGGAGGGGACGCTGAGGGAGCCGGGGCTGCGCTGAGCTCCATGGGGAGAGCTGTGTCCCACGGGCACCTGTGGAGGAGAACAGCCAGGCCTGAAGCAATGGAGGTGGTTCCAGGACTCTGGGACCTCTGCACACCCCGCCAGCCCTACGGCTGCTTCCAATTTCCATCTCCGGAGCGGGGCACACCTGCAATTACCAGGCACAGCGCCGCCGAGCACGGGGACAGCAGAGCTCCCGGCCCTGCACAAAGGAACCCTTACATCAGCTCAGCAGCCGACGTGCGCTGGAGAGGGGAACAATTATATTTTTATTCTCTCATTTCGGCACTTATTAACATTCCTTCACACGGCAGCCGAGGGCCGGGCCAGAACAGCTGGGAGCCGTGGTGAGGACGGGCACGGAGGCAGATGGCCCCAAGGCACACTGAGTCCCAGCATCTGCTGCACCACCGTCCTCTCCGAGAGAGTGCCAGCAGCCCCTGGCAGCGTCGGGCAGAGCCGGGGGGAGCTGGGGACCGGCCACGGCTCAGTGCTATAAATAATAATAGCAAACCTGTTTGTCTCAGCCTGACGAGGAAGTACAAGTCAGAAACCATCGGCTGCGGATCGTGGAGCCCAGACACGCTTTGCAGAGCAGTGGGGAGAGGAGAAGGGGCTGAAATCCCCAATAATAGTAATTATACCAATCATGGAACGGCGTGGAGCTGGGAGCTGTTGCCGTCTGCCGTGGCCTCCCCTGGGACCCACCCTGCTTGCTGCCCCAGGTTCCTGTTGAGCATGAACATTTGCTGGGAAAGGGCCAAGATGGGCAGCTCAGCTGGGGGTCAGAATGCTGGCAGGAGGCCTGACAGCCCCACAGCACAGCTGGGGCTGCACTGTGAGCTGTGTGCCCAGAGGGATTCACTCAGCGCCCAGCACAAGGGATGTGGGCGGGAGGAGGGGCTCAGTCCTATGGCAAAGGTGGGGTGTTTGTGTGCTGGAGCACCCAACCTTGGCAGCAAACCTCCTTGGGGCACGGGCAGGAGCAAGCAGAGCAGCCTGCTCCAAGGCAGGTGGCCCCAGCAGCTCCTTGCCATGAGCTGTGAGCTGCCAGGCAAGGGGATGCTGAGAGCTGCAGGTTTTTCTGCTCCACCCAGAAGGAAGACAATGTCACAGCAGCTGTGAGCATTTGGAGGTTGGGGCAGAGGAAAACAAGGAGGGGACCCACGCACACCACCCCAGAGCCATCCTACACATCCCCCTGCCATCCCCATCCTTCAGCACCTGAGGATGTCCCGCAAGCATTGGCACGGAGATGCACTGCTGTCCCCAGTCAGCATCCAGCTGCCCACAGTTAAGCAGGCACCTGAGAGACATTCAACTGCCCAGCAGCGTCTTGCCCACTGCGCCAACCCTGTGCTCCTCTCTCAGCTCCTCCCTGCAGCGCACAGGGGGAGATTGCCTGAGGACAGCGGGCACAGACAGGGCTGGGACTGCTCTCCTGCACCTGGAATGGCTCAGGAGCACCCTCACCCCGCCACCGCAGCCCGAGGGGCTGCTCCCTGCCTCCCACACCCACCTCTGGGCCCCTCGGAACCCTCCTAGCCGCTGCCTGGGGTCGGGGGCCCGGCCGCCGGGGCTGACAATAGCGAGGAAGCGCTGGCTGGTGCCGGCGCCGCGAATCCTGGGCAGCCGGGCTCACCACCCACGGCACAAAAGCAATTAAAAGTTGCACACAGAGGCCACTGTGAAGAATGAGGGCACGTCGCCATGTCGCCGCTGCGGCTTTCACGCCTGTCACACCCGCAGAGCCGGTCCTGGGGTGCACAGCCAGGCTGGGGACGCTGCTGGGGAGAGCCTCAAAGCTGCTGCAACGGGGAGCGGGGCACGGCCACCAGCAAGGATCCTTCCAGAGCAGCCCCCTCCTACCGCAACAGCAAATAGAACACCTCCGGCTGCCGCATCCAACCTCTCCCAGGGGCCGCTGGAGCCGTGTCCCGTGCCCGTGTTGCTTGCAGAGCTCTGAGAGGTGCCCCTATGGCCATGGAGCACGGGCAGAGCTGCCACCTCCACCTCTGCACTCACCCAGCAGCACTCTCAGGGAAACCTCTGTGATACAGCCCGGCTCCGCTCTGCCTCCGTCCCACTCTGCTGCAGCATCGGCCCAGGCGTGACCCGTCCACACGGGGGGGCTTCCTCTCCCCACACCCCCCTGCCCATTGTATAACATGGCCGGGCCGTCAGGACGCATCTCATCATCCCGCACGGCCGCGGGGAAGCGGCGGCAGCAGCTGCCAATGCGCATTAGGGAGCGGTGCCTGTGTGCGCCGAGGTGGGGGCACCCAGCGTGGGGAGCTGCGGGGAGATGGGGAGGGTTGGAGCTCCAAAACGCAGCAAACTGGCCCGAAAGGAGCAGCTTGGGGGAAGCAACAACCCAAAGCGGTCCTCTGGTGAGAACCGTGGCAGGAAGGTGGGAGAAAAGCTGATGGCTGTGATAACCGTGAAAATAACTGATTTTCCATCCAAGAACCAAATAATAATAGTAATATAGGAAAGGAATCAATCTGAGTAGGCCCGGAGCAAAGGAGGAACGTTGCAGAAGGGAATGTCTTTGTCTCCAGAAGGATAAACAAACAAACACACGCGCCGTGCAGCCAAGGAAAAGTTTATTTAGGGAAGAGAGTTATCTTTAAGAAAACGTTCTGCGCAGCTTAACCTGATCTCCGCGCTTTGTCTCCAAAGGCAAAGCCAAAATATTGTATTTAAAAAATGTCAAAGCGAGACATTTCTGTAGTTTAGAAAATCCGCTCTCTTGGCCACGAATCCAGAATGTATGAATAGTTCAGCCCGGTCCAAAGCTGCATACTTCTACCGAGCGAAGCATCCATCAGAAATGCTCCCCCGGCTCTTTGGGGAACAGGAAGGCGCCCCATCAGCTGCTCAGCCACCTCCCAGCCCTCGGGGTGCTGCAGGGCATCCTGCTGGTCACACTGTCTGCCATTCACAGACCTCCATCTCCCAGCTTTTGCACCCCCTGTGCTAACGCGACGCCCCGTGCATGCAGCTATGGTGCAGAGGCACAGCAGCCTCCTCCCTGCTCTCTGCCGAGGAGCAGCGTGCATGGCTGCACTCCCTGAAAGGCCCTTTCTCTCCCATTCACACCGACCACGCTGGGATTTGCTGTGCACACAGCCGGCATTGCACGCATGCCCCCAGGTTGCTGGGGCAGGGCCGGAGCACCCCAGCAAGGCAGGGAAGGGCTCCGGGCCAGGGAGCCTGGGCTCTGCTCCCGGGGAGCCGTTCCATTGCACTGAGGTGCAGGAAGGTCCCCAGCCCTCGGCCGCATCGTGGCTCCGTGGTCCCTCCGCACCGCTCAGCATCTCTGCCAAGGGCTCCCTTTTATTAAGAGCTAATTACCCCTCTATTAGTTTGGGGAAGGATAGCGCCGATGTTTGTAAAATCAGCATTCATTAACCCTTTCACCCCGGGCTGGGATTAATTTCCTGCTGACCCCGCTGGGCGATGCGCGCCCGACGGGAGCGCGGCCGCAGCGCAGACAGAGGAGCTTTGTTCGGCGCTGCTGCCTTGTTGACGCAGGATCACCTTACGCCGAGAGCTCCAGCCCCGCGGCCGCTTCCAAGAGCAGCACAGCACAGCCCAGCAGGCAGCGGGGGCTGCTGGGGGCCGGGCAGGGCGAGGGGCGGCGGTGGGAGGCACCCGGTGCCGTGCGCGGCCGTATCCGACCGGGACAGACGTGCCGCTCCATTTACAGCACGGCTCTGCTGTCCCTCGATCGAGGGTTCCTCCCCGGGCTTGCTTGTTAAGCACATAATTAATGGCCGACACTCGGTTGCGTGGAGCGGCAGGAAGCTGAAGCTCGCCACGCGGCGCCCTGCCGGGCTGCTTTCGCACTTAGAGGCGAAACTTGGATGCTGCTGACCTGCGCGTCGCGCTGGGTGCCGCCGCCTGGAGCGAGCTGAGCGGGCACTGCCTCCGTCACATCCCTCAAATCGGGGCGCGCAGGGAACGGCACCGCTGTCCTGCAGGGACCCGCGTCGCCCCAGCCGTCCTCGCTCCCATCTCGCCACAGGCTGCGGCCGTGAGGCACCTGCCCGCAGCGCGGGGCCTCCCGGCTCCTTCCTCTCATTAATGCAAAGGAAAATAAACCCCGCAGCCAGCTGCCTTTGTGCCGCTGGCTGCGGCCGACGTGCCGCTCGCCTGTTCTTCTGGCAGACTTTTCCTGCCGTCCCGCAGCTCCCGCGTGGGGCCGATTCCCCGCGCCCTGCCCCAGCCTTCTGCCATCCTCCCGGCTGCTGTTTCCAGCATCCCCCGGCACGGGGCTTTGCCCTGCCCGGCTCC